GGACTCTCTCAGCAGGTCCGTGTCCTTCTTATGTTGGGGACCCCAGAGCTACAGTACTACAGGTACTGTACAGGTGGGCTCTTCTGAGAGTGGAGTAGAGGAACAGAATCCCCTCCCTTGCTCTGCTGGCCATGCTGCTTTCAGGCAGCTCAGGACCCGTTTGGCTTTCTGGGCTGCGAGCACACATTGCTGGGTCATGTTGAGCTTCTCGTCAACCTCTGGTTTAGAGACAAGGATATTGTGTGGGATGTTTCAAATGTTTGCACAAGTGCAGACGTATGGCATCTCTGCACTTCCCTCATCCATCAACATTCTAAGCCCACTGCAGAAGGTCACCAGATTTGTCAGGCACAATTTGCCCTCAGTAAAGCCATACTGGCTGTCACCTATCTCCTCTTTATTATACCCATGCCAGGTACGGTCTTTGGAAAGTTTCAGACGATGCAAAGAAATAAAAGTCCAACATTGAGAATCCCTTCTGGACTGATGCTCGGGAGTTCCAAATGTAGAAATCTTTTCAGAAAAAAACACTTGACACAAAAACATTGAAAAAAAGACAAAGAGAAAATTATCTTTGTGCTCCTAGAAAGTATTCATTCTGCTTTTTTAATGTGGTTAACTACTAAATAGTGTGCAAGTCTACATATATACATGCTTACTGATTTAGAGCATGAAACTAGAACTTTCTTAAGAGGAATGATACAAATATTTTGACTAATGTTTAATAACTTACAATTATTCACAGAGTGTACTATTGATAAAGAAATAATTGAGTCAAATTAGAAGAAATTAGGAAATTTGCAAAGTATCACACCACTTCCTAAACAGTTTACAAGGCAGCTTACTTAATTTTGTGCACTATTGTCCTCAATGTTTTTCCTGTTTCTATTGTCCTTGGGTGCTATTGTGATTATCAACAATAATTGCAAAATATTTTTAGCTCCTGCTTGAAGTAGCTTGAACACACTACAATGCTAAACAATGATAGCTAAATAGGCAAGGAATGGGGGAAGGTAATAATATTTTGGTTATCAATGAAAATAGATTTTGAGAGTATTTGTTAATATTTTTATACACTAGGAAATTTTTAGGGGTAGATACAATAAGAGTGGAAGGCAGTTGTACCAAGCTAAGTCTTTTTCTTAAAAGTTAATAGGCAGGGAAAAAAGTGATTTCTGGCAGCAAGACAACAGGGTCATTGCCCCAAGAAGTCTGATGATACCATATGTACAACACATGGCGGCAAGGCAGTTTCTTCCTACTTACCCATCCTTGCAATCTATCATAGCCAAGTGCTGACACCCCAGCTTGTATGAAAGGGCACGTGAACATCAAAGGAAGTGTCTTTGCCTTTGAAAAACCCTTAACTGGTCTGCATACAGGGCAGTGTTGACACAAATCTATCAGCACAAAATCTTACTGCTTTACCAACTTAATTAATGGTTTAATTTTGTGGAAGAACAAAACCAGGGGGAATGATACAAATGCAACTGATTAGGACTTTTTTTTTTTTAAAGTAAGTTGATCTGATTTATCTCTTTATCTAATGAGTTGTTAGAATGTTGGTTTCCTTTTCTGGCTCACAGTGACTGCTCTTATGACCCTTATGAACCCACTTGCAGAAATATCAGATGCTGATTCTTTGAAAAAATTTGTCACCTGTAGTTTATTAAGATAGTTTTTTTCTGGATTTGAGCTGTTTTCTGGAAGTAGTAAATATAATTGAATACTAAAGATACAAGAGATACATGGCTAAATAACTAAATTCTAGTCAAGAAAATGATTAAAGATTTAGAATAATTAATAAAATGAGATAATCTTGCATCTGATTGTAACTCTTCATGTTTAAAGTTAATTAAGGACTAGCAGACCTTGTAGCATAAAATGTTACATATTGTTCATAAACTATTCATGGTGAGTAATAAAGATATATAATTGTAAATCTTTAAAGAATTTATAAAATTAATAGGGTAATTATATACCATCTGATAATGCTTTTTTTCCTCAGTGATACAGTTTAGGTATGGCATTTCAATAACTTTTGCTTGTTTTCCTTATTCACAAGGCCAAGTTTGTAGTAAGAAGCATTTTATCTTTTATCAGACCAACTGATACTTAGATTTTGCAGTTTGAAAAAAAGCCTTGTGTGTGTGTAAGTTTAGCTGTTTTTTTCTCCCCAATAGCAACAGAGGGCTTAACAAAGATGCTTTCTCTCTGACCTTGCCTTAGTTATATTCTTAGAACACTGCAGATATGTTCTTATTCATTAATTATTCACATATTATTGACCAGCACTGAATGAAGAGAAGTCCTTAAATTCATACTTGGGTAATGACATGGTTGATAATAATAATAAAAAAAATTCTCCCTCTGTCACCTCTCTTTAGCACTGCTTATTTATTTTCTCCTCTAAAAAATATAATTTCTTCTTCTGAAGCATGAGACCATGATTACTACCCATCTGCCACATTTATTCTTGGTGCCACTATAACACCCTTCAGACCTCATTTTCCCTGGCTGGAACTCTTCCATATAAAAGACAAGTGTCACACCTCAGCAGGGAATAAGTGGTCTCTGCTTTTAAGCTTGCTGTCAGTAAATACTCCATTATATCTCTCTACTCTGATTCTCATGTCTGTGTTACTCATGCCCTGCCATATGGACTTGACAGTGTGTGTAAAGGGCTGTGAAGTGAGAGAGTGCAAGAATTCATGACACAGGTCAGCAGGTGCAGTGAGAGCAATGAACCCGATTTTGAGCACAAACACAAAATCAGGGAAGCTGAATGGCAGCTGTGGCAGAAAGCACTAAGAAACACAGAAGAGAGGGGCAGAAAGCCCAGCTAAGACCTTGAGTGGTGCTTTCAGAGTTAGTTCTTCCTGCAATGCAAGACAGTAACCTCCTTCCAGAGTTCTTTTTACAAATCCTCTGCCATTTCATCTATGACTCTCCCATCACCACCCTGCCATCTTTGGCCCTGATTTCTCTTCATCCTCCCTAGTTCCTTATTTCTCTTGAATTCTAAGCTGTTTTTTTTTCTTTTTTCTCAGCCTCAATTTCCCTGCTTGTATCATTTAATAATCATCCCAGTATCTGAACACTGCAAACAGAGTTCAGTAGCCCATATTTCATGAGGGCCACCTTTTCTCCTCATTTCTTTTTTATCTTGAGGAAAAGGTGATGAACAATTTTGGCATGACTTCTCTTCCAGCTACCAGAATCACCAGCTGGCATCCTGCTTTCTCCTTCTTTCAAGCACAGCCAAGACCAGCAGTAAGCTATGGCTCAGGCTTTATGGGCAGTCATATTATAACATACATCCTTAGACCACAAAAGCTGTAACAGAACTATTTTTTATGGTTTATTGGAAATCATGTTGGCATTTTCCTTAAAATGCAGGGTCTTGAATGGGGATATTATCACTTGTTTTAAAAAAGGATGTTTCTAGTCCATAGAAAAAAATGTGAGCCAAATGCACTATAATGACAAAGAAGTAAGCAGAATTATTCCATACTTGTATTTTTTTTAAACCAGTGCCAGAAGCTGAGGGAGCAGCACTGAATAATGACTTTAAAATACTTACCTTGGCAATAGTATAGGTTAGTTAAACTGGCCTTTGCTTTGTGGTCTGGGCTAGAGAGAGAGGATGCACTACTGTGTTGGATTCAGCTGAAACCCAACTAATACTCACTCCATCTAGCAAGATGTACTGCTATTATTTCTTCTGCCACTTCCCCAGACTGACATTTTGTTGTCTAGAACCATGATTTGGTGAGCTAAAATACCCCTATCTTTGCTAGTGACTGCACACAAATCCTTCAGGCTCAGTTCTCCAAGCTTCTCTGGCCCAGCATTTCCCTTGTCCAGCAGCACCCATCTGTTCCTCCGGCCAGGGTGCCACACGGTCACCTGTGTGCCAAGGCCAGCAGAGGGAAGGGGCCTGGAGTCCAAAGTGATTTGCATGCTCAGATTGTGTCTGTACAAGGAGAAAGGACATCTGTGTAACTTCAGCTGCCTAAGGAATGAGTGGGCATATCACAAAATGGGTAAAGGTTGGAAGGGACCACAGTGGGTCATCTGGTCCAGCCTCCCTGGACCAGAGGGTCCTCCTAGAACACATTGCACAGGATTGTGCCCATATGGTTCTGGAATATCTCCAGTGAGGGAGACTCCACAACCTCTCTGGAAATCTGTTCCAGTGCTCAGTCACTGCACAGTAAAGAAGTTCTTCCTCATATTCAGGTGGAACTTTCTGTGTACCAGTTTCTCCCATTGCCTCTTGTCCTATTGCTTGGTACCACCAAGAAGAGTCTGTCTCTGTCTTCTTGGCACCCTCCCTTTAGACATCTATACGTATAGAATATCCTTGTGCAGAAGCAACGGTGAAGCTTTCACACAGGAAAAGTTAGTGCAACAGAAACACTGAGAGCAAGGAAAGGGTGTCATTTTGAGGGAGCTTTAGCCTTTAATGAAGACGCACACCCTCTAACAGCTTTACATTCTTCTTATATGGAGGTTCTCGGGATTCAAGGTGAGGCCGCTCCGGTGCGGAGCAGACCGGGACTCCCACCGTCTCTACTTTGGATATTTCGTCCCTCGACTTCTCCCAGGGACCAAGTTCGGGAGGCCTGAATGAAAGCCAGACTAGGCTGAACACGGGGCCGGGATGGAGGGAGGGACGCAGCGGGAAAAGGGGGGTGCGGCTTTTTTCACTTTTGGGGCAAATAAACAGAGGGCGCCACTGCGGCCCCGCCCTGCGGCCCGCCCGGCCCCGGTCCCGCCCCCGCCCCGCCCC